TTAAAGTAATTTTAAGTGGTAATTTTTGGAAAGCTTTTTAAAATTATAGAATAATTCTGTAGCAGAACCAGTCTTTACAGAACATGTCGTCCTAATAATGGCTCACTCCTCTTCCTATAGTCTGTTAGTTTTTATCACGTAGTAGATTACTTGATCATAGCCATCATTAGAATACATTCCATGGTAAAATCAAAGCATGATTATGAAGATTTAAATTTTTTTAAAAAGACTTTCACCTCTTTTGGTTTCATGCTTAATTATTACAGCACTGATGAGTTACTCTTATTTGCATTTCATAGTTTTGTTTCTGGGCTGCGCCTTGTTTAGTCTAAGCAGACAGACACTGAGCCAGAGAGTGAAATATAAAGGTTAAACGGCAAGTAAGTTAGTAGTCCAAATGGAGCCTTATGTTAGAGGTGTCAGCAAAGACAGAGATAAATACAGAGAATGAAGGGAATAAGATAAGAGAAAGTTCAAACAATAGCATGGGATAGTGGGTACGGTTACGGATTATTAAAAATACAAAACAGAATTTTGCAAAACATGCAAAAAAATCCTGTCAGTTTAAATAAACTTGAGGAGGGAGCCACATAATAAACTTAAATATTTTCTTTAATCACACTGTCTCAGAAGGTATGTTCTGTGTTGTTGTCTCCTGAATATTTCTCCGTTGGTTTTTAGGTTTCTGTCTTCTGCATTGCACATCAGTGGGATTCACGTTGCTGGATCAAAATAATGTCGTCTTCAACCCACTGAAGGAAAAGGGGTGAGCAGCTTTCTCACAGCCAATATTTTATCTCCTTTAGAAAGCAGTGTGCCCTGGAAGCAAATATCATTATGTATTTTGATTAAAAGTGAAGCCAATTCTAGGTACTTTTTGTATGTCAAACTTGCTGTTTTGGTTTTTGTTTCTTATTAACTTTGTATGTGAATGTAAGGATCTGTGTTGTAGAGCAAGTGCCAGGACTAAAGTTAAATAAGAATGAACAGATAGCTATGCTGAATCTGCCATATGTCTGTTTCTCTCTGAAGGACTTCAAAAGAATGCATATAGGGGAAAATTAGAAGAAATGATGACTTGTTAACAAGTCTGGTGGGTAGTTTCTTCACAACCCTAAGTGGTTGGTTTATACCCTGAAGCATAACTATTTATATCTCTTACAAACATCTGTTGTAGCTTGTATATGTTAAAAATGATATTACTGAACTGCAACAGCTTACTTGTACCTGATGTTAACGTTACTGGGTGGTCCCTTTGCTCTTAATAATGAAGGAGTAAGTGGGGCAAGTGAGGAGTGATGTATGTTAAGTGATCACTTTGTGTATATGTTTCAGCTTACCTTTAATCTGTTCTCTTAGTTATTCCTTAACTTGCACATAGTCTCCACATTTCTAATTATGATTACTCCTCTTAATTTAGCTTCCTTTCTACTTTACATTGTATCTTCGTACTTATTTTTATTAAAGGCTTGATTTTTTTTTTCCTTTCACTTTTTTTTGCGTTATGCAGTGCTTTTATAAATTCCCTTTCACCACAGATATCAATGAAGTTTCTGGTTGCAGTTCATGCATCACCTTCCAGTTTACTTGACCTCAAACATTTCCTTGTGTTTTCTTGACAAAATAAATAGAATGAGAGTAAATTCTGCTCTGCATGAAGGAGACTGTGTGACTCTCTCAGCCTTGGGTTTTTTTATTCTTATTCGTAACTCTTTGAATATAACACAAATGCACAGTTTTTCTTCTACTCTAGATTTCTTTAACAAAGAATAATTGGCATTTTTAAAGCTAAGTCACATGTTTTTAGACCCACTTCAGATACCATAGGCCATATTGTATTTGGTATAGCCGTGCTGGTTAAAGATGGTCCTGCTGTGAGTTGATAATTGCCACACATAAGCCAGAAATTACCACACTAGTAGGTCAGCCAAGAGCAGGGGTTGTACGAGAGCACAGCAATGTGCTTCAAAGTCAGCTGGTTTACATCAGAGCCACCTTTAACAGTGGGTTGAACCGGCCTAGCTCACTTTATGTAAAAAGGATCAGAGATCCTTCACGTGTTCTGTTAGCTTGGTGGTAGAGCTGTGGAAGTAATTAGGTCTGGCAGGGTGGCAGTGATCAACATCTGGGAGCGATACCAGCTTCATCTAGCATCGCTGTTTGCAGAATGAACATCTGCTTATGCTGTGTATCTGCTGACCAGGACTGGATACTGGATCCTAAATTAGGTTATAAAAGCCAAATGTGTAAATACCTTTTCAGTTATTCATCTTAAAGTTTATCGTAGTTTGTCTCTTACCACTGCTGGGTAATGAGGAGATGTTTCTCTTTAGTGATCCAAAGTAATTCCTCAGTTAATTGCCTCAATTTAAGTGTGTGATTAGCTCAATTTGTTCTTCTTGATTTGCAGTACTTGTCTTCACTAAATCTCATCAGTTCCTATCTTGCCTAATAGCTTAATCTTCTTCTACTGTAATTATAAGTCAGAGGGGGAGCTCTTACAGGAAATAAAGGATATGCCCGTGTAGAATTCTTTCAGCTGTTCCCCTGGGAGAAAATAGGGCAAAAGTCCTTGATGAAATATCTATGGATCTAGCCCAAAGCTGTGCACCTCTTTCTTACTTTGTGTGGCCTGGGGGATTTCTAGTTGGGGAATGTCTCTTTCCTGTGGAAACCTGGAAGGAAGGGTTGGTCTTATTCTACAGAAATTCTTGACTTGTCCTATTGTCTTCACCAGTTTACATGTGTTATCTTTGTTGCTTCCCTCTTAATGTTATTTGAAGTGTCACTAATGTGATCTCAGATCCTTGCTTAACTCTTAAGACATTCTATGACTGTTTTACCTCCTCTTATTTCCCCATTTCTGGCTAAGAGCTTTGTCTTTCTCTCACAGCCAAACAATTTCTTTAACAGCTTTTTGTGAGGAACTTCTTCAGCTTCTCAAACAGTTGCTGAATACTGTTTGTTCTTTCTTTGTTGAGCTGTTGACCTCTTCTGCCTTTATTTTGAGGGTAGTCTCGTTTATGCTTTGGATATCACAGTCAGAAATTAAATGTGCACCTTTTGAGAATGAATAAATGCAACATTCTGTATGTGCCTGTCCACTCTATAAATACAGAAAGACACTAATGCACCAGTTGTAAGTTACCATTTTTTAAAGAAAATAAATGTTTAAAAGTAAGGCAAATGCTTACAGGGCTGATGTTTTTGAATGTGTCCCCTTAAAGTAATTTGAAAGATATCTCACTTTGCTGTTGTGGCAAATACTGATTTAATTTTAACATTAAATTATTCATAACTTTAACCCCCCCCCCAAAAAAAAATCTATCAGTGAGTGCATTTATGTAATTCCCTTTTTTAAAATTTTGTTGGAGAAATCAGTAATATTTTTGGAGTTTCAAAGAAACTGATGTTCTGTTAAAACAGACAAACTAGAACCAGAAAATAGTTTCATTAAAGCTATTAGGAAAACTCAAAATGCAATCTCTACTCTTTTCCTCTGTGAATTGTATTCTTAAGAAAAATGTACATTAGCACAGGAAGTCCCAGACTGCAGCATACCTTGTAGCTTTAAGGAATACTTCATCCACGAGCTGCTGAAGATGATATGTGCATAGTATGTGCAGATAGAAACTTGTTCAGCTTTTTAAGCACGTGACCCAATACCAGAACCAAGATCTGCTCTTTCTGCTCATATTTGTGGTTCCCGAGATGCTTCTGTGTGTGTAAAATGGCAGAGACTCCCAACAAGTAACAGCTCCATGTAGGCATGAGTGAGTGAAAGTCAGTAACCTCGTCCATAAAGGAAGTCACGCTTGTGTCATCCTGGTCAACTTCTCTGGTCTTTAAAGCTAGCTGAAAAAAAAAATAAAATAAAATTGCAGTAATGCTTAGGAATCGCACTTAAAGTAGAACTTTATGCAAAGTTAGGCTTGAGGTCTGTCCTGAGGAGTTAGGTTTGTCTCTGTGCTTGAAACTGTTAAATGGACAAAAAAGAGAAGCTAAACGTTAGGACTCCTGTATGTCAAGGAAAGTTTAGTTCTATGGTAATATTTAACGGTAATAGCTTAATGAATTGTGTAATCTCAGTTGTAATGGCTGCTAATCTAACAAGAAAATGAAATGTAAATTAGTAATTTGATGGATAAACTATCTGGTGGTGGCACTATGCTATGTATTTTTTTTTTTAATGATTGAATATTGAGCTTTAAGAAAAAAAAAAGTTTAATTCATCTGGGCACCAAACTCCAGCTAATGTTCAGAGGTAATACATAAATAAATTTACTTGTGTTATAAATACTGTTAATATTTCCCAAAGTATTGAATGTCTATGAAAGTGAGACTTCTGAATTCTTAGGTCACTTTTGAACTACATAATCACATAGGCCCAGTTGTTTAACAGTGGTTAGATAGTGTTCTGTTCTTTGTTGAGCCTTAAATGAGTTGCATGGTGACACTCCTGATGTCAAAAGTGATTTGAAACTTTGGTTTCTAAAAGTAATTTCACACCCTAACTTTGAAACATGGGTTTCATTCTCATAAGGAAATAGGGTATTTCTTAAGATTTTTTACATTTGGTTCATCAGTTGTAGACTGTTATTACTTCAGTTACAGTAATGCTCAGTGTGGTGTTAGTCTTTTCAAAACACTGAAACATAAATCTTTGCTAATTTCTAGATTTTATGTATTACCTTTGAATAAGTTAAGTAGTGCAAAAATAAATGCTAAAGTTCACTTGAAGTTCATGAATATAAAAGAACCTCAGTCTTAGTAAAAGTCTAAAAATACAAAACAATACAATGAACTTTTTCCTGATGAAAGTTGTTGCATTTTCAAATTTATTTATTTATTTTCGAAATTGCACGTGACTATCGTTGTCAGTAAACTCCCTGATTGTTTGGATGGAAGTGTGCATAAATCTTTCTTTTTTTCATCTTTTAGAACTGGATTCTAAGTGGTCACTTTTGTAACTGACTTTTTTTTTGTTTTTTAAGAATATTTGGTCATACTTACGATGCTTTGACATAATTAATGTTTCATTAACCATGATGGCAACACAGACATTAAGTATAGACAACTATCAAGATGGACAACAGGTGGGTGTGTTTTTCTTTCTCTGTGAACTAAATAGGGTTAGCAAAAGAAAAAAGGTAGTGACTTTTTCCTTAATGCCTGCTTTGGCATTGTTTCAGTATCTGTTCTTGTTTGTAAAACAAGATCTTTAAAGTGATAAGCTGCTATTCTTTAATACTTACATACTTATTTAAAGGCTTAGCTAATATTTACATGACTTTGCTTAACTTCTGGAAGAAGGGTTAGATAAGGGGTTTTCTTCTGAACTTGCTCTAGGTGATTTGTGTGCTGTAATGTTCCTGTTTTTATGAAAATCAGATGGGCATCCTTAATGTTTTGTGTACATGGTATTTTAGTGTTCTGATGTGTCTGCAGTTACAATAGGTAGATGACATTTAGGCGGTTACAGGCTTGCTGGTCTTGAGCAAGTGAAGGCTAAATTTAGTTATGTAGAATTAGATGCTACTTTGGCTACATTTAAGTTGATACAATTACACTGCAGGCTGAAAACTGGTAAAATACTTGAATTAATGAGGTTATTGATTATAATTGCAAATTAGAAAGTTGGTCAGTAGGCTTCCAGTTTCCTATTTCTGTGAACAAACAGAATAATGAGGCATGCTGGGATATGTCTGGTCATGGTGTTTCTTTTTTGTGCAACAGGCTGTATATTGCAACAGTTTGCATTGCTAACTTAAAATACTGTTAACTGGAGACAAGACATGCTGGTGGCCTGTACTCTGAACACCCATTTTTACATTACCATGTGTCAGCCCTAAGCAGTAAATACAAATACTTCTGTCAGCAGATGGCAACAGTGGTGAACAGTCAGAAGAAAACCAGCAATTTTTCCCAAGTCTTATAAAATGCTGTTTATCTGTATGCAATCTGAGATTATTGATTTTTGTTGCTGTTGTTTGCTTCTTTTATTGCAGTTCTTATCTCTTCCTCCTCTCACCTACCTTGCATCTTTTGCTTTATTCCCCCAGCAAATACATGCCATCTTGTGACACGTCAGTGAAATTAATACACGTTTTTGTAAAGAACAGATTGTGAAGGAGCATTTTCTTTCTATTCATTGTGTATCAGTGACTAAGACAGACAAGTAATTTGGGTGCCTGCTGCTTTTGTAGTTTGGAAATGGCCCACAGAAAATAGCTTGCAGTTTTAAGTGAACTAGTTCCTCCTTCCAGTGAGACAAAGCCGTTACTGAACATGCTCTCTGCATTCAACCTCTGCAGATGCATGGCTCAACGTTTGTGATCACATGTAAGAGTGATCCCCTTTTATATTGCTCCTCCTTGTCATTAGCCAAGAAATTAGTCCGTTAGTTGCATCTTTTTTGCCAGCATTCTGCCTTAAAAGTCGTTTATGCTTGCTCAGACAGCTTTTTCCAAGGCAGGCTGCTCTGTTGAGTAGGACATGCTGGCATTTTCTCAGTTTTTGATTTTGCTAGGAGATGGCTTGGCCCTGACAGGCAATAAAGCACAAACCTTTTGGTTTTCGCAGACTTCTTGTTGGGAATAGCATAAATTCCTTTTACTTATGTTGTGTGGAAATAGGTTAAATTCTGTCAGAGTCAGGTTTTCTAATAGTTTCTGGCGGCCAGCTCTCGTCTCGGAGGATTCCTGTGAGTGATAAGATATGTACATTTCCCAGGAGGATTGTATTCTGTACAGTTCTTGTCCGCAGGTATCAATTCTGGCTGCCTGGTGATACCTAGAATGGTGTCTGTCCTCTACTCAAGATAAAACTTGTTAGGGTTAAAGTAGGAGAAAAAAAAAAGATATGTTAGTGATATCATGTCTTTGTACGGATGTTCCCAGTGCTCAAAGGGGAGAAAATCAAGGGTTTGGGATAGAGTGGAAACTATGACTTTCAAAGGCCAGATTCCTTTAAGACCTTTTTTTTAATCTGCAGGATTTTAGCTGGAAGTGATAGAAATACCACTTTTGACACCTTCAAAACACCTCAAAGGCACTACTGGCCATCCATCTAGTGCGATTTAAGAGGTGCACAGTAGAAGCTGTGGGCCTGTGTTCTTTTTCCAGTCATGGCAGATTGTGTAACTGTATGTTAAATGGATTTATAAAAGCAGTGACTGCTGTTTTCTCCAGTAGCTTGGTATTCCTAAAATAATTTGTTACTACAATATGCAAATTGGAGTGGTAAAGGTCAGGGAAGGTTACACTCCTGATGACTGAAAGATTGGTGGGACGCAGAATGTTTCGGTTCTTTGTAAGAAAATGTGTATTTTAATGGAGAAGAAAAACTTCAGGATCTCTTTTCTTCAGTATCTTGATATAACATACAGTAAGAAACAAGAAAGAAAACTTAAGATTGGAAACTCTCTGTTAGTTTCCTCCTAAAGGCTTCTTATGCAGACATCCCCATAATTTTTTTGGAGCACTGTACTCTAGCCTGTTCCAAAACCAGCCACTTCAGAGACAAAATGCTTTAAGAATTTACTAATATCTGTCATTCCGATTTTCAGAGCAACTGCTGAAACTTGAAGTGACCTTTACACTACCCATCAAAAAGTGTCAAGAATTAAAAGAGGTTTTGTTACTGCTATGGCTTACTGTGTAACTGCCAAGTCATACCAACCTTCTGGCAATTTAGTAGCCCTTTGCATTGCTATTTCCTTAGAAAACACTACGCTTGTTTTACATCAAGCATGCAACTTTACTTATAACTTACTTTTTTCTGCAGATGCAAGTAGTAACAGAGTTAAAAACTGAACAAGATCCCAACTGCTCCGAAACTGATGCAGAAGGGGTGAGTCCTGCCCCTGTAGAATCTCAAACTCCAATGGATGCAGACAAGCAGGCCATTTACAGGTAGTAATGGACTCATGATCTGTCTTTTGAAGGGTAAAGCATAGAGGATTTTTTAAATTAATAATAAGTAGCTTAAAATTATAAGTAGCTTTAAATCAGATGAACTCTTGACTAACTGTCTCAGTAGTTTGCAAGGAAAGAATGAGATCAAATTAGCTTCCTGTCAGTCTTCAGCCAAGGGAAAAAACTTCCCTTTATTGTGGGATTCTTCGATTTCATACTTTTAAAGGATATTCTAGAGGTGGCTGCCGTTAAAGCACACATGAAATTTAGCGAGCTACTCAGGCTGTTGATCTATGGTCACTTATTTGTTATACTGTAGATTTTATCTTTAATGTGAGATTTTATTTTTATTGTAATTAGGTCGATCTTTACTTCCTTTTCTTTAGGAATAATGATCTATTGCCCAGTAATTAGCTCAAATTGGATCAGATGTTGATGTATAAACACGCTAGTTTGAGATTTTCCAGTGTTAATTGCTGTACCAAGCAGTATGCTTGGTCTCGATGAGGTTAAGTGTTCTTTCACTTGAAGTGTTTTGTCAGGGTCTAATTATTACCAGTTTGGAGTTAAGAAAAATACAGACCATAAACCTGAAGCAGGAAGATGTATCCACTCATTTACAGACGTGTGCGAACAAAATCATCTGCTCTGAAAGTGATTTCGTAGGAGGCCTTGAAGTACAGCCAGGATACTATTCTCAGTTTTGTAAAATTATCTGTGGTGTATAAATAGGCCCACATTGAAGAATAATTTCATCTTATTTGACTTTATTCTGTAATTTAAATCTGCATTAATCCTATTTGTAAATACTAATCCTCATTTTTAATGCACAGTATTAATGTATCTCTTGCCACTCAGTTACAGTGAATTAAATAGTATGTCATAGATTTTTAGCTTATGGTTGTTCTCTTTATTTAAACATACATATTTTACTGCTTTACTTGCCTCTACAGTGTATGGTAAATCAAAATGAAAAAAAACCCTGAACTTCCATCATGTTTTGCTATAGCCAGTGGTGTTATATGCAGTCTCTTCCAAGACTTTCTGTTTCTTAATGAGTGACTGTTATGAATGAGAGCCTGATGTCCTTCGTTTCAGTGGTGTAAATGTAAGTGAAAATATTTATTCATATATTGTAATTTTTATTCTAGGCACCCACTATTTCCCTTGTTAGCACTATTATTTGAAAAATGTGAACAATCTACGCAAGGCTCAGAAGGCACAACTTCTGCTAGTTTTGATGTAGATATTGAAAATTTTGTAAGGAAGCAGGAGAAAGAAGGAAAACCATTTTTCTGTGAAGATCCAGAAACTGATAATTTGGTAAGTATAAGCTGTTTCAACTTTTTGGGTTTTTGTCTTGTTTTGTTTTTTATAATCAGGGTTCATCTACTTAACGTGGGAGAAGAGCTGTTATAAGATGAGCTTAGAGAGTCTTTTAACGTATACAATTTTTTCTTTACGTGTCATTGTCTCCTTTAGGCTTTCTGAAAGTTCTAACTGTGATGAAGCTGTGATTTCCACAGTTCCTTAGTCTTCCTCTTGAATCGCATCTCTAGAGAGCACCTCTCTTGGCATTCTAGTTTCTAATCTGTCTACCTGCCTTGATCTCTTTAGAGTTATGTTGCAATTAGATTGTATCATATTCAAGAATGTTAGAATTATAGGGCTCAAGTGTTTAGTTTTTTAAAGTATGTTCCTTTAAGGGGACTGTATAAGAAAGCAAGTGTTCTTCCTTGAGTCTGCCATGTAGGAGAAAAGGCTACTTAAAACATTGAAGTTCACAAACAAAACTAAATTGATGGGAGGTTGTAAACTGCAGAAATTGTAATGTTTTGAAGCTCATATCTAGAAAGACTTTAGTGGGAAAATAATATCCTGTGTGGGAGGCTAAGGTAATGTACCTAATGTGCCTGGAGAAAACTCTTAAAACAAAACCAAGGTTTAAACAAGAAATAAATCTGAGATGCTGTTTAAAATTGGCAGCAGTGTTGCAGTGAACAGCATGTTAGGAAGGGCACGTGTTGCAAAAAAAAAAAAAAAAGTGTGCAAGCAGCCTAAATAGTCATTTTGCATAGCTTGATTTCTTTCCAAGCACTTTATGACTAATTGTTAGTGTACTTAAGTATTTCAATAGTATTATGGAAAATAAAGCTAAAAGAGTTTCTCTGTATAATTAGGCCAGTGTGAGAGTAAAGAAGGCAGAAGACTGGATGTTCTAGAGTGAGGCAAGCTTTTACAGCTCTAGCTAGAGACATAAGTTACCTTCTCAGCTACTTGTTATATCCTTTTAACTGTAGATTACAGTGGCCAGGATTGAAGTATCTTGATACGTTGTGTCAGTGGTCTTAGTCTATGTAAATACCAAGTTACCTTAGAGGAGATCTTGAAGGATGGATCAAGTTCACTTTGCACTAATCCAATTGCAAAAGCACTTTCAAAAAGTCCTCATACAGCTTTGTCTGAGGAGCTGTTTGTCTTACAGAAGCTTTTATTTTCAATTTGAAAACATATTGAGACTCAAATAAGGTTTTTGCTTTAGACAGTGACCCGAAACAATGCCCTTCAGAATGATGGGAAAGCAGCTGAAGGACACATAATATGGTACATAATGGCAGTCTCAGTATTAAGTGTAAAGATTCTCAGTTTTATAAGTGAAGAACTGGAGAACAGGCATTGGCCACTTTGGTCAAACTTGCAACTACAATAGGAAACACAGAATCACAGAATTATTGAGGCTGGAAAAGACCTCTGAGATCACCAAGTCCAGCTTATGACCTAACACTACCACACTGGCTAGACCATGGCACTAAGTGCCACATCCAGCCTTTCCTTCAACACCTCCAGGGGTGGTGACTCCACCACCTCCCTGGGCAGTCCATTCCAATGCCTCATCACCCTCTCCATGAAAAAGTGCTTTCAAATATCCAGCCTAAACCTCCTCTGACGTAGCTTCAGGCTATGCCCTCTTGTCCTGTCACCAGTTGCCTGGGAGAAGAGCCTGACCCCCACCTGACTACAACCTCCCTCCAGGTAGTTGTAGAGAGTGATAAGGTCCCCCCTGAGTCTCCTCTTCTCTAGGCTAAACAACCCCAGCTCCCTTAGTCTCTCATTATAAGTCTTTCCCTCTAGTCCCTTCACCAGCCTCGCTGTTCTCCTCTGGAACCACTCCAGGACTTAGTATCTTAATCATTAGATCTTTGTGGGCAAGTTTTGTTTCAGCTCACCTGAGAAATATTTGTTGATACAGACAGTTACTTAGTTTTCTAAGTAGAAAGAAGCATTAACATGCCAACTAAAACACGTCCATGAATAAACCCTGTAGCAGAATTACAGTTGTCACTGTATGAATTAGAATATGAAAGAAGAAAAATACAGGCAAGAGGAAATAAATGGTAGTTCTCTCTTTAGTTACTGCCCTAGTGTGAGCCACAGTGATGTGGGGTGCTTTGCTTTTTAATTATTTTTTTTATTATTTTAAATGTAAGTGGTGTAATATTACATTTGTGAAATATTTGTAGCACGTTATAATGATTGCCTTACATTTGTAAGCAGAAATAGCTACTTCAAAATTATTATAATGAGATGACTGTTCCATTGGGGTGCAGGAATCCTTGGAGATTGAGGGTCACTGGTACCATCATTTTAGATCTTTCTTGAACAGGAAAGCACTCAGGCAAATTTGAGGGAAAAACCAGAAGTGCATTATTGAGGTAGAAGGAGATAAATATTTTAAAGAGCCATTAGTTTCTGAAGACGACTAAATCCAAGCTAAAAAATGCAGTTCATCACAGATGCTTATTTGCACACATACAAAATCTTGTGGGACTTTTGGTTGTTAAAATGAATTGCACACAGAATTCTCCAAATAACATACCAGTTTCAGGATCTTGTGGTTTGACCCAGGTATATAGAAAGTTGACTACCAGGAATGCTTATAATTTTGGAATTGCTTCTTTCTTTCTCTTTTACTCTGTAATATGTTTGGGTTCATGTTACTGCTATCAGTGACACCTCTGGAGTGCTTCTTGCACATCAGCTGTGAATTTGAAGACACCAGTAAAATTTTCCATGGCTCTTTCTTCAAAGACTTTTGAATATACTTGCCTCCAATACTTTACTCAAAAATGAAAGTTAGTTCTGTTCTGCATGAAGCAGGTCTGCTGACTTGCTAAGTCTGAGGCTATTTTCTATATTCTGTCTCAGTGGATGAGGAAAGAGCAATGGCTGTGGTTTATCTTGACTCCAGTAAGACTTTTGGCATTGTCTCCTGTAATGTTCCTGTAGACAGACTGATTGATAGAATACGGAATAGATAAATGAGCAGTGAAATGGACTGAAACCTGCATGAACTGCTGGGCTCAAAGGATTGAGTTCAGCAGCATGAAGTCCAGTTGAAGGCTTGTCATTAGTGGTGTACTCCAGGGATTGATACTGGAGCCAATACTGTTTAACATCTTCATAAATTATCTGGACAGAGGGTACCCATGGCAAGTTTTCAGATGTTGCAAAACTAAGACGAGTGGTTGATGACCAGATGGCTGTGCCACTATTCAAAGGTGCTTTGTCACTTTTGGAGAAATAGGCAAACAGGAATCTCATGGAGTTCAACAAAGGGAAATGCCAAGTCCTGTACCTGGGTCAGAATAACCCCATGCACAGGTACACTCTGGGTGCCAACCAGCTGAAAAGCAGCTTTCTGGAAAAGGACCTGACAGTCTTGGTGGACACCAAGCCAAATATGAAACAGCAGTGCATCCTTGCAGCAAAGAAATTCAGCGTACTTGGGCTGTGTTATGGAAAGCATAGTCAGCAGGTCAAGAGACATGATCATTTACTTCCATTTGGTGCTGGTGAGACACATCTGGAGTGCTGGGTACAGTTTTGGGCTTCCCACTACTAGATGTAGACATACTGCAGTGAGTCCAGCAAAGGACCACAGAGATGATTAGAGGACTTGAACCTCTCTCATATAAAGAGAGGCTCAGAGAGCTGGGACTTGTTGGCCTGCAGCAGTGAAGGTTTTTGGGAGTGTTATCAAGGTATCTAAATACCTAATGGGGGAATAAAGATGACAGGCTCTCTTAGTCTTCTCAGTGGTGCCCAGTGAAAGGGCAAGAGGAAGTGGACATAAAACGTAAGATAAGTTCAATTAAAACATAAAAAGCACTTTTACTGTCAGGATGGTTGAATACTGGAGCAGGTTGCACAAGCAAGTTGTAAAGTCTCCATCCTTGGAGAGTCAAAACCCAACTGGACATGGCCCTGAGAAACCTGCCCTCATTGACCTTGCTTTGAGCAGGTGGGATGCATTAAACAACCTCAAGAGGTCCCTTCCAACCTTAACTATGTTGTGGTTTCTCTTAGCCTACAAAGATTGGTTTCATAAAGATCCTATATGCCTTGGCCTGCTTCACATGCTTTTGATTGTACACAAACATTCTCTCAGGTCTAGTTTGCTTTGGCTGTAGATGGGTTTGCTGTGTTCAGATAGACCATCCTGCCAACTAACTTGTTCGTGATTTTAGTGGTAACAAAGTCTCTTGGTATATGTGGTATTCATCTTTGTTGATGGGCTGCACAAATCCGGCTGATTTTGCTTGAGATGGATGAAGAGGTATTTGTATTCTGTGCCTGCTGAGGTCAGTACTATCTTAAACTGGAACCACATTGCAAAATCTGATATCTTTGGCATTGAACTCCTGTTCTGTAGTTGTGTTGTTGGCCATGACTTTCTATTGCTAGATACCAAATGAAATCTGAGTGCGACTTGTCCTCTTCCAGTCCTGAAGGCCGGCGACTCTATAAACATCTGACGGTCTCACAGGCTGTTCATTTTGTCAAAGGCAATGAGCAGAAAATTTTCTGTCTAGTTGTGAATAGCTAGTATGGTTTTCAGTCTCTTCAGCTTGAAATATTGATGGCTGCACAGAGAAGGCTGTAGCTGAGCAGTTTTCCTGCCTTGTGTCACATAAATATATACATTTTTATATAGATTAACAATCTCTTTTTAGTAGAGACGATTTTAATATTGTGCACCTTTGTTATGTCTTCTGTTCTTGCTGTCCCTCCCTTTTTAACTCCAATTTTAAATCAACTTGAGAAGATAGCAAAGCCTGCTAATTACAGCAAGCCAGAAGGGTGGAGCGGTACGCGAAACAACTACTTGCTTACCACCTGTACTCTTATCTGACTCCAGCAGAGTCAAACAAATAAGGTATGAATGCTTGCTTGGTAGTAATCATTCAACTTGGTGTCAGAGCTAAACTGCAATGAACTGAACGTTATAGTACTACAAAGAGCCAAATTGAAGTCTTATCCTA